AGATAGGGCACTACATATCTTCCGCTTTAACTGACATTGGCTAGCCTGCGGGCTTATAGCATTCTCTCGCTAGTCGCTATATCCTAACACTTAAAAGTAGGAGAGGCTGTTTTGACGTTATAGTGCATGTGCGCAGCAGTGTTTGTATGTAATTGCCCTGGCTATGCTGTGCAATGTAGTTTGGGAACAACTGAGATGGATAGTATAACACAATTACATTTAATTTTCCTACTCACGAGTAATATAATGTAAACTGTTTCGGATATTAACTCAAATGCTTGTGTGTTTCTAGTAATGGATAAGACGATATGACACCTTGTATAAGTAAGATAATTTGACGCAGCAGAAACGTAACATATTTAAAGGTTAAACACTCTGTTCACATAAAGATATTCAATAAGCTGTTATGCATTTATTACCCGGAAGCATGGAAAAATCAGCTATCCTAGGTTTCTTTGATTTTCGAAAAGCTTAGCGAAAATGCTGATAGCATTACCTACTGTGACTGCCGCCACCGTTGGAAACTTGATATTTGTTATCTACAAACTTCCTGTAGGACTACATCACAACATTGCAAATGACTATTCTGAAAAGGAAGTTAGAAAAAATAACAACAGGTTATGGTCTTAAAACACGTTGCACGAGATACCGAATATAGCTATTATGAGGAATAGCTTACAGAATTGGATGGACAAGGCAAGTGGACATCTTTGAAAAATGAAAAAATATTTATCTTATAATACTCGAGAATAGTAGGATTTTGAATGTGATTTTTAATAGAATGCATCACAATTGTTCCCAAACTACATGGCACCGCATAATCCGGTTAATAACATCTAAATATCGCTGCGCATATCTTCTATCATATAAAATTGCGTCTCCTACTTTCAAATGCTAGGATATACCGTGTAGCGAGAGAAGGTTATCAGCGCGCAGGCTAGCCACTGTCTGTGAAAGCGGAAGTCAGGTAGTGCTATGTTTCATCTAGTCAGCAAATTATGAAGCGCAGACCGTTCCCCCATGGCACGATGGTTTAAGATCTTGGCTACTTACTATTAATCTCTTGTGGTCATGAGCTAGATCCAAACGAGGGGACTAAGGCAATGAGCATAAGAGACGAGCGCCAATAAGTTAAAACTCGTTCGGTACTTTCCAAAACATAATGTGCAATGCACTTTGTGAAATAGTGAGATGAATACGTAGAACATACTTGGAACCGATCGAATAGTCATGAGTGCAGAGAAGTTTGGAAATAATCGGTTGTTATAATAGTTTGGTTGTGTTTCGCCCACGGCTCAAGAGCTTCTTCAGACCAGGTGAATCGGTATGCAATTGGTGTGGGATTTTATAGCGAACATGGGAGATAACCGCGTTACCCGAGACTTGAGTCATGATGTCATTACGGCAACAGTTGGTGATGTCACCTCAGGTGGTACGATTACAGTGGGAATAGTCCAGGGTTTCTTTGTGCCTCACGACAATGACGGATATGCCCATAGTGTTGACAATGGGAGTCGTTTTGCACTTTCCAATCGGATTCACGTACAGATGCTCGTCAAGCAGGCTGGCTTAAGACCGCCCGCCACGGACTAAGGAGTTCTACCCCTCCATTATATTCACGCATTCGTCAGACTTGACAATCAACCGCTGATTGGTTGATCGTATACACCTCCTAATGACCTCTACGTTTTCCGGGTTCATCTGGTAACCCGTGTCTAATGCGTGCACAACTACGACCGAGTCTCTTACCATTGCGTGGTATTCAAACTCGTATCTTGGTAGTCTTGAAATGCGCCTACTATGCTCCGAAATTCGTGTGCGTAAATCTCTCGCTGTTTTGCCGATGTGCACATGTGCACAGTCCTTACATTTAATTTTATGAACACAATTAGTCGTCCTATCTATCGGAAGAGGGTCCTTCAGATGTGCAGCGCCGAACGTAACGTTTGACCTCGCTAAATGATAGGCATTACATTTTCCTTGTTTAATACCCTCGGAATTGCTTCGGAAGTGCCTTCATTGTACGAAATTCCGACCATACCTATCTACTCTGCTAGAGGTCTTGAATGCCGGAGTAGAATATTTTGCTACTTACTACTTCGGTGGCAGTCCCAGTGAGCGTATTTGCATAGGCTAACTCCAATGTCAACCGACACCACGAGTGAGATTGCTTGTCGCAATCCGCGACACACGGCGGGTGCTCCAAAACACGAAATTCGATATAGCTATCGTTAGGTATGTTCTCATCAATTATGGGATAATGTGTAATGGATTATTTAACAATGAAATATAGTAATCATAATGGCAATTAATATGTGGCGTTTTATAGAGAAGCCGCACTGTAAAAGGAATATATCTTTTTCATATATGTGACATGCTCACGCGTTTTGGGCTTTCAATGTTCCGGGTTATATGTAGATCATGTGTAAATTTTGCGAAGACCTCTCGGTATCTGCGCTGTCGTTTCTTATCCAAACAGGAGTAAACTCTTTTTTTCCGTTCAGATATGGTATGGCGGCAAGTTCAGGAAAAGCGAAGCAAAGTAAATACTCTTTTTTATTTGTCTTTCTCGGCGCAGTGGTTCGTTATATAAAATCTTATGGACTTCCTATGCCAATTTCTAGCGGTGTCGAAAGTAATGATCTTAGTCTTTGTGCTAGATGCCAAAATGGAATCCAATGTATAAACGTCACAACAGAAACGGAATAACGACTGATTGGCTATTTGTTTTTATGCACCGTTCCAAATAAACTAAAGTTAATCCTTACCATGCGGCTGCTGATATAATGTTTTCAAATATTTCCGGATTGGAAGGTGACATTTAGACCTGCTTGGTGCGTAGTGTAATCGGGAAAATTGAAAATGTCACGGTACCTAAAATTAAAATCAGTAAGTTGTGTTCTTCATCGCCTACCACATTATTAAATTCTAACCACACGTCATTCTCGTATTCGAATCGAAAGCGAAGAGAATATCTTATGTATCTCCTGACAGCAATGCTTTGCGGAGTAATAATATGTACACATGTGGGGAAATTGCGGTTGACAATGGGCTGTTATTGAGAGAATTGGTGATCCACGAATATCTTCGCAATTTTGCTTCGTTTTCTTGCTCATCACATAGACCACCAAGAGAAAAATGCTTGTGCCGTCGGCTTGCCATCAAACGCTTGTAAATCTGTTCTTTATTCCTTCATGCTGGAGGTTTAGGCTCGAAAACAATTCACTTGACATTCTACTGCTTTTCATTGCAGGTTATCAGGTCCATTGCTTCCGGAACTACTTGCCGGCTACGGAATAACCCCGAAAACCGAGCTGGAAGAATAACATTTAATCCACTGTCAGCTAGTGCCCAATAGGTAAACCCATATCTTGGGCTCATACGGAGGAGATAATATGAAAATAAAAATATCGGTTGTAAATTTGTCATAACATATCCGATATAGTATGGATTCCTTTTCGAAAGGAACAAGAGCAAATTCAGAGTGGCAACTAAGCATATATGTTCATACTTGAGCAATGTAATTTTGTAGGACGCAAATAAGCAAAATTATTTGTTGGATATTGGACAATATTCTATATTAATCTTGTGCCTCATCCGCGAACAACTATGATTCGACTGCCTGGGATAAGTAAAATTATACAAAGATCCGAAACCAAATTTATGCCTTCAACGTAAGGCACAAAGTATATAGAAAAAATAGCAATTGTTTCTAAACGGTTAAATTTCTTTTGCTTATGCGGATCATAGTTAAATTTTGTTTTCTATTTTTTAGTTAATTATTTTGATTTACATTTGAATTTAACCATTTCATTGCAAACCTATGGAACAACATCTATTATAAGATGAATCGTAGGCTAGCTTCATCCGCAAATATTTTACATACGCATAACTTCGGCGATAGCCATGCTTCATCAACGTCTAAGTTAGACTCCATTTAAAATGAAAAATAATATTGCGGTTTATGCATAGAGTTTACTGAATAAAGGTCTATGAGAATGCAAGCAAGGCAAGTGTTATATGTCGGAGTAGATCAGGTGTACGTTGATCAATCGGGCACGTGCACAACTAATATTTCCCCATTTATTTGCACCGTCTGCTTTAATTAGTTTTATGTTATCAAACATGCTATGGTTAGAGTTCGTTGGACACACATAACATTTTGATGGTTTGAGTCAATAGTTCGGACGCTGCTGTCTGTAAACACCGCACTGGACGAGACTGGTTTCATGTTTATTTGGATAGTCGTGTAAATAAAATTTAGATTTATTGGAGGCCCAACAGAGCGTTTGACAGCATTCGTTTTGGCCAATTGACCAGAGCATTATGACAACGCTTACATCGCTAGAGGACTTCATTATGCGGTTCTAGATTGCCTGCAATTTTTCATTGGGTTTTGGGGATAGACAAACAATTCTGGCTGAAGATGTTCTTGAATGATTAGACAGACTACTATTACTAAACACCATTTAATAAATGACCGCTAGAATGTTTTCAAACTAACGTGCTCGAATAGAACAGGTATATTTTGTATTTTTTACATGCGACAAAGTGACCTTTTCAAGATGTAGCCAAATGCATTATAAGCCAAGCATTCTCCCGTGAGTACATATGTCCAGTTTGTACACCTAAGCGGAATGAAAACATATTTATATTTATTGTGGACAGTGCAAGATTTGACATCATATAAATCTTATCAATAAAGATATTTGGAATACAGATCGTCTAACCCAGATGCATTTACAAAATTTTCGATATTAAACTTTTTACCGGACAAATGTGTCATTAACTCACAGAAATTATTTTTTAAGAATATCACCCTAGCAATCTTCGTGGCCATTACTAGCATATGCATCTTGCCAGCTTGTGCAACGTGACAATGTACATAGGAATTACTCTCCTGCCTGCTACATCTGTTGGGGAAACAGGCAATAATATTCCCACTTAATTATTGGAGGCGGCAGAGCCATTGGGAATAAGCAGTCAAAATCGTTGCTTGCATGCGGATGACAAATCTGATTCTATGGAATCAAAAATTCGTTTGTACGCCTTTTCTGAATTGCAATCACAATACCGCACTGAGATGTCACCTGCCTAAGCTGATTATACAGTATATCCAGTTATATTGTCGCCTGAATTTCTTTGTACCTCACAAGAACCAAGCATGTGTGTCCACTCCCACTTACCTTGTTTTTTACTCCACACTGATGGTACTCAAATACGTCTAGTAGATGTAAACATAAAGTTACAGTAAGTCTTATACTCCGTTACATCTTGGAGTCAACCTAGTGTTGTTATCTTCAAGTATATTTTAATGAACCATACTAATGGTTTTACTTGTCCTGTTAAACCAAACAAGTTGCCAATGCATAAAAGCTGCCATTTTCGGGACTCTTTTTTCACTCACATAATCTATAAACTAGTACTACTCCCAAATTGCTTTGTTTGCACGTATACATTTTTAATTCAGACGAGCGTTATACAGCATTGGGATATATATATGTCGGCTTAAACAGACGCCTCTACTAAACCCTTGATCAATATCTCATTATAAGCAGTCTACGGGGAATTTTAAGCACCTGCCTATTACTCTCGGTAAATCAACGCAATGTTCATTAGAGAGCAAATAATAGCAGGTTTAGCGTCCACTTCCTTGGCCCTCCATACCAACGCATCATTCAAGTCAAGCAATAGCACGCTGATTAGGCAGTCCTGACCGTGACCTTCAAACTCTCCTCTCCTTACCAACGCTCTAGCACGGCATTAGATCAAACGGCTACCCAGGCAAACGCCCAGGCCCTCATTCATTTGCTCAGCGCTGGTCTATCGGCTCCATATTTCGTCTCTCGCCAAAGTAGGCATAATTAAAAGGCACCTGATTACATGACACCCTAGGGCAGCTTCACCAAGAAGTAAGATTTCTTTTGTTTATGTCTTTTCTTGATTTACTTTTTTTGATGAAGCATAGGAAATTCTTGCTAAATTGAATCTAGATTTCTAAGCCAATTATTCCATAACCATACTAAGACATAGGTAGAAAATATGAGAGAATACTGCATATATGCTTGTGAAATAAACCCGAGGGTGATCTCGGAATCGTGTCATTCAACATGTTGCAAAACGTCCCCATAAAAGCTTATTGGTAGCACGTCACATTTGTGGTGGCTGCTAAAAGAATAACGTGAAACCCGTGTCTAATGATTATATATCTTTCAGTTCATTGAAACGAAACGTATCAAAGCGATGTAATCAGTACGCAGTTGTTTCTACATCGCGGCTGCCTGATAATTACTAACCCAGCATTAACATTCACGTACATCGGCGACTCCCAGTATCCAATATTGCGATACGGACCTCTGCACAAACAGGCATGCACAGCTTCCACAAGTGACATGCAGCAATGCGTTAGAGAACCAGCAACAATATGAGCAAGGTAGAAAAACCAGTTGAAAAATGCAGATTGACGTAAATCAAGTTCCCACGCAATGCATCATTTTCAGTAATTTCAATTGTGTCGCTTTAGAAGAATCAGGGTTGATGGGGATACTAACGCAATTCGGCTCACCAATTGCGTGTGAGCTAACAGCGGATCCTCTTGCAAGCCGCTGGGTTACCGACAAACGCCTCCGCAGCAGTGTGCTCAATAAATTAGATGTTCGGCCCACTTATATTTGATCAATTGTCATTTTTGGGTCGATGCCATCACTTTGCCTAATCTCAAGCAAACTAGCGTCACACATGTCGTCGTTTCTTGACGCTGAATAACGGATCGATTTACATCAATCAGCATTAACTGGTCAGTACTAAGTGCCTAAATATACGAACCGGAACAGGGGATGTTTCGTCGGAGTGACACCCCAGACTGACCAGAAGGCCACATATTAATTTGATGTGGTTTGTATACCGGTATGCATTGCATACATCACGAAGAACATAACTTTACGAATTTAGTGATGAGGGTAATTAAACTAAAGCGTCATAAGCAAAAAAAATTTGGGTTACAATACAGCCATTCTTTCATTATTCTGCGAACGGTAAATCCTGCTCCAAATTTCCGTACTTTAGGAATAAAAAAATATTCGTCTAATATATGGATAGGTTTCACGACAGTGTTCAAATTTGCAGCAGAAATGGAGATATCCGCCAAACGCTCACCAATACAATCGTTGTTTCCCGTATGCTCTATACAATACACTATCCATAAAGCATAAAGGATCATTATATATCTATATATAGAAAGAGAGAGATAAAGAGAGATAGATCGTGTGTTCTCAAATACGTCGTCATAGTAAGAGTACAAAATGTGCTCAGTTAATATATAACGGAACAATAGAGTTGCCACCTATCTTGATACATGAATGTGTGTGTGGGCATGCATACGCGTGTAGTCATATTTATAGGAATGGTAATTTTTTCTGAATTTTTGTTCGTGTTTTCAGTGCTAACGAGATACTTGTTGTCTGTGGACTTGAAGTGTTGTCGAAGTAAGCAAGATGTGACTTTAATTTTTGACAAGTAATAAACCCCACATCCCAGGATTGTTAAACAAACATTTGTTTCTTTGTATAAGGAGTACGCTTGCCAGGCGAATACCCACCAACTCCTCGAACACTGCCGCCGGAATATTAGTTGGAACAGGGCAAATCCGAACCAACTTACTGGTACAATTGGAAGTTGTTGAAATAGCCAGCCGACGTGATTCTACTTGATGGTGTATCTCAGCAGAGAGTTGCTAATTTGCTTCGTGATTCCATTGGTTCAACGTAAAACTTGAGATTATGGTAGGCTATATATTCTTAGCAAGATAAAAAACTGAGGAATGTTCATGTTACATGTATGTTCTTACAATTATGTCATTAAGTTTATTTTATTAGAGCTAGCAAACAGGCAGAACCCACTTAAAACTTTCTATTTAGAGTAATAAAACTGAACAAAATCACAAAACGTTAACGAATCCGGTGAATGCTCAGCGAATAGGCATTCTGTCATAAACGTCATATTACAACAACCACATTTACTAATTGTAGATATGGGTGTAGATGTTACTGAAGAATATTTTGAATATAAAAGGCAAGTAAGCTTGTATAAATATTCAAGCGTTTGGATGAAATTAAGGAATCTGCACTGCAAACTGCTGTGCCAAAGAAAGTCTCTGTTCGACGAGAGCAACTGTGTAACCGAAAGCACAATCCAGTTCAACAATTTCAGCCCTTGCCGTGACATCAGCGAAATTAGAGCAACTGGCTTTAACGTGTCTTCGGTTTTGTGGAATCTTTCCAATGTTTAACAGCTTAGATCTTACAACTTCATCCAATGTACCCATAGTGCTTTTACTTTTTAGTTTAATATATCAACAGGAGAAATACTATAGAGTGCTTTTGAATGTTTCATAATATAGTTGATATCACCAGCATTTATCATAGGGCCATAACAAGTTTATGTACGTAGTAGTTGTACAGAGCCCGTAACTGCATGGATAGCACAACCAGAGGTGTCCATGAAAGGCTAGCAATATATAGAATGTGGAATTTTCAATGTCTCAATCTAGTTTCTCTGGAGCAAATAATGAACATACCACTTCCATTGATCAAATTCGAATTGCACACAGAGAAATGCGCTTGCTTGCAAATCCTGCGAAGCGACTGATTGATCACTCATCAGTAAACATAACCGAGTTCCTGCAATTGATGAATTCAAAACAATTTTCGCAAAACCTATCCACGTACACTTACAACGAATAACTGTTTTTCATTTATTCATTATCAGAGTTGGTACAGAAATATACGTTGTTAATAGAAGCTCATTCGGGAACAGAGAGTAACTATTTTAAACATAAATTTTTATATGGTTAACGTAATGTGTCATGTGGTCAAATGACTGAAGGCATTTAACGGCACTGAGTGAGGTCCGATCCATATTTATTAATTGCTGGCCAAGGTAGTTGTAATGCTTGTACATGCTGCTTCTAAATTCATAGATTTGCTTTTGTTACCCTGATGCACGTTGCTTCAGCGGTAGCAAGTAGCCGAGACCCTGACCGATGGTGTAGCTGTGACGGCACTTCATAGGGGATCTCAAATGACTTGCGCATATCAATCAGATAACTGGTGCAGATCAGATGGTTAGTTATGGCAGTCAACTTAGTTTTGTCCCTTTGGGTGACGAGCGAGTTTGGTAAAAACTCCTAGATTCTTTTTTCCAGTGCCTAGTCGTGCGCCCAATGTACCTACCGCCACAGGATCAGGTGAAGCGATAGACTACCATTGATTGGTGTTGATCGGGCATTCTGTCTTTTAGTATAGGAACAAAGAGCGAACTGCTTGTAAAACCGACACTTAGTCGAACTGCACTGAAGGTATTTCTGCAAATCTGTATCAGTCGTCGTGTGCATACCTCAGCAAGTATATCAACTGTAAAGGAATTTTAGAGAAAAACGTTTTTTCTTCTCTACCGTTTGTGCTGTTGGTCTTGGGATCCTAGGCTTTACATAAACCTCAATGTATTGATCTGGATAACCGTTTTCAAAAAATGTATGCCCGATTCGCATCATTTCCCTGTACAACAAAATAACTATGATATATAAGAAGTGCCCTGAAATCTCCATCACCTATGTGGAACATTTGCTTTTCCAAATGGAGTTTCATTCTAAGTCTTAAAAACCCTGCTAATTTGATTGCAAATTGTACCAGTAGCAAGTTTTCGTTTTCAGAGCTGAGAGTGCATTAATGACTTACACAAATACTTAATAGGAGCAGTCACGAATAACGGCAAATCGATCAACGAACAAGAGCATGTATTTACAATTTCTTACAGGAGGGAATGGTTTAGTGTAGATCAAACCAATAAACATTATGGACTAGTCTACGACTCACCATGGTAATTGTAGAAAGGACGATAAATGTAATCGCCCAGGAGTTTTATGAATTGCTGTTTGAATATTGCCACGGAAAAACTGTGTTTTATATTGGTTTGTGATTTAGGCGTACATTTATGGGACGACAAACCCAAACACTCACTCAAATACTTAGATTGCGTCAATATTGTGGTGAATCAGAAATGTCCCATTTTGGAAACCAAGATAGATGTGGACTGCTTACGGACAAGAACGGATGTGCATTTGTTGTGGTTAGTGTCATCAGCAGTTCTCGCGCTGATGCTTGAAAAATAACTGAAACCCTGTGTGACTAACTAAAAGCACAAGGAATGCGTTCGTTTGGTGACC